AGATGCAAAACCGGATCTTCCGCCACTAAAACCTAAAATAAAGTTGTTACAGGATGAAGATTCCTCCAAAACAGTCTCTACATTGCATCAATCATTAACTGATTCCTTCATGTACACGACAATAGCCAATAGGCCAGATATAGTGTATGCATGTTATTGCGCTCTAAGCTGTTTCAATAGTTGCTCAAGAAAAATTTATTGATCATCAACTTAAAGAACAATACGTTGCCTGAAAAGTGTAAAAATGCCAAATCTCAGCTAGTATTTTAAAGAATCCTATGAATTTCTGTTGAAATTTTCATTACAAATTATAGATGATATACAGACAGAAGCACTTTCTAAGGAAAATAAAAATCATATTGTAGTTACTCTACAAACCGTTTGTCTCTCTACTATAGCGTTAAAGAATATTTACTGTAAATGCCTCTTATATCTTGTATCTTAGAAATAGAGGTATCGTCTCCATCGTCTTATGGTACATATTTTCTGTTGGTGATACATTTCAAAGTGTTAGATAAGGCCTTACTAAGGTATTTCAACTTCTCTAACTTATTGATTCAAGCTTTTGCGACCATCGTTGATATCATTAGCAATTTTCAGGCTTTTTGGCTGTCATTCAGTTTTTTATTCTCAACGTTTCGTCGACAGCGGTAGACGACATCTTCAACAGTTTTTCTGCGTAAGCGACCTACACAGAATTCGACCTACCATCCTGGTAAATGCAGGCACAAGTTCATCAATTAATTTCCCCAAAAATACATGTTGTAGCCAGGATAAGCCACAGTGCAGGTGGTCCAACGAGGCGTATCTCGAACCAAAACTATATCTCATAATTAAACGATTTTTGCTTTGACAAAGAAAAGTAAATAATTTGAAAACTAAAGGAGATGGGCTTAAGAAACCATACATCATTCGAAAAAAAATTAAATTGTGCGTAAGGCTATGAAAATGTATACAAGGTTTTTCACTTGAAACAATGAACTTACGATAATTTAAAGTCAACCAAATCCATCGTTAGATATCTATCACCCTTGTATGTAATTTGGCCACTTTAAATATATATTCGGGAAGCTTGGAGTGGAAATAGTTATCTATATATTGTTACTTTAACTTTAACTTACTTTAAAACAGACGCTACCCACTGCTGTTACTTCACAAAAAAAATAACAAATTTTAGAAGTAGGAGAGCCTTATGATAGTCTACCTAAGATCATAAGTAGAATTCAAAACAGTAATAATATATAGGGTGTTTCACTTAAAATAATGAAGTTGATGCCAAGTTCCGTGATAACCGGATGTTACATAGATGCCGTTATTTTACAGCCCAGCCTGTTTCCATTCTTCCATACAGTCAAGTGGCTAATATCAAAAGTAACGTTGCATTTGGTGTTAACAATGGTTCTTGTTCAGTGGAGTACAACTTCGGTTAGACCTAAAACCATGTTGGTTGGATTTTTGTTTTGGCCAGAATTTGTGGTCTTTCGTTGAATTGAAGTACTTTCCGAAATTTTCTAATGAGTACTAACCGTAATACACTCAGTATAGTGAGCTAATGTAATGATTATTCTCATAGATATAATAATCTAATGACCTTTGTTTTTCACGTTTCTACTACGTTTCAACCTCTGTCAATGCGTAATATTTACATGCTCATTTAAAAACAGAACATTGTCCTATTTATAATGTATTTTACGTAGACGCAAACAACTTCCATTATGTTTTTAACACCGAGATGTAAATAAACCATTCAACTTGGATCTTAACTACAAAAAAATAATATTTTTTTGCATTTCCTTGATTAGAACAATCGTGGAATTTACCTTGAGCTTTGCAGTTAATGATATTCAAAAAGTGCAAGAGATAACAAACACTGCAAAATAAACACATTTCAAAGTTTCTATTTGAAACCGAATTTTTAATACCTATACGTACGTATTACGTATACATAGGGTGCTTCAGGAAATATTGTGGGTGATAGTGATCTGATCATTCTGAGTAGTCCCTGTCCATGATATTACCTATAAATTATAGTGATCGTAAACCTCAAAAAATAATAATTGAAATACCCAAATGTCCCGTGAAAATTAGTAAAAAGCCTGGAATAAGGCTTTCCAACATACAAAATACTAAACTATAATCTGAAACAACATCGAAGACCACAATCGATAAATACAAGTTCGTAGCATAAATTGGTATTGTACTAAATAAGTGAATAGCCATTGCCTTTAGTTTCTTTCCTTATAGCAATGTCATTTCGTTTTTTCTATCACGGTTGAATTAAATTCATTAAAGAATAAAAGAGAATCTGTTCAAGGAAGATTAGTATAACAACTTGACTAAGTAATGTTAAGGAAGCTATACATTCTAAGAAGCAACTTAATAACACGTTCAGACGACGCGAAAGCTTTCTTAGGAGAAAATGATAACGTGTAATGACGTGGTTTCCCTTTTACGGATCGTTTAAGTCAATAATTCACGAAAATCAGAATAGTTATGAGTAATGTGGGAAATTTTCACTATCTGAAAATGTACCCTAAATCCGAAACAGCTCAGGTTACTAGCTCATTGACTGTCTCTGCTGATGATTACAGCTTTGTCTAGTTTATCTTATGTTCAGAAGATTTCAGCAGCACCATTAAGAAATCTAAATCAGTATTACACACATAGCCGGCGGGGGGGGGGCTGAAGGTGCTTAGCTCCCCAGAAATTTCACGAATTCTCGAAAATCATTTTAAGATTTACTAACAACTTTTTGAATATATCGTCACTTTAAGACAAACTGGTCAAAATAAAATTAGATAGTTTCACTTGCGTAGAAAGCCCATGTTAAAGAGAACATGTGTTGAAAGAGATATCTACAGCTACATATAGACTTTGGGACCGTACTTATATGAGACAATTCCATTATTTTAAAAATTCGAAATAACTAATAATAAAAACGGTATCTATTATACGTAGCCTTAATACTTCAGTAAAAAGTGCTGTATTTCTCATGATAAGAGGTTACTACTACCTACTTGTAATTACTTCACTACTTCGTAAACACTGCATCAGTAAGTGGTTTTCAGAAGGAAGTGAAGAGATCTTTTATCACTCTACGTAATGTTGGTAGCCTACTGTGTTAGCTTTATTCATCAAAACAGTAGCTACGGCTTATGTTCAGTCTACGTAAAAGTCACGTCTTTGACCAACTGATACAAATCTCTTACAATAAATTTTCATATTATCCAAGGGTAGAAAATGAAGGAGCTAAAGGATTTAAACGTTTTTCATTTTTCTTTGGTACAAAACATGTGCTTGACGGACAATGTGCGGAATGTTCGTACCCCGGTAAGCAGTAGGAAATGACATGCCATTATTTTTTTTCAATAAAAAATCGTGTGAAATATCAATAAAAAGAATGTCTTCATCAACATGGAATTTCAGTAAGTAAACCATTCCACCTGATGTAATGTATGTAATTCTGATCAAAGCTCATTTTGTTCGGTAAACTTCTGTCACTTCAACGTCATGTAATGTAAAATTACACGTAAGTTACCAAAAAGTAAATAAAAAAAAATAAAAATTAAAACTATATAAAAATGAGGTTTTATTTTTACATTGTTTGTTTACAGGTCGATCCATATAAAAGCAAGTTGCAGTTATGTTTCTAACGAAGGAAAAATGTAAAGATGTATTTGCAGTAATACATTATATCAACTTAGATGTAAGTGCAACGAAAATAATTTCCAATTCGATTTGGACACCTACACCAAGACAATTTAACTGTCAGAGTTGCGATGAAAAAATGGAAACAGTAGTTTACTTAGGATAATTTAATTGATAAGTACATGTGCTGTTCACAAAATGAGAGCTGAACCAAGACTGAAAACTAAAGACTGCTTAAGTATTTCCGTACATGTTATTTCTATATGAATAACCGTTTTCTTACAGACTAAACAAAGTCTATCGGCGACTATCGAACACATATCTAATAGATTTATGATTTTCCATCCATGACTGTTTATTAAGCTAACTCACGGCTACACGTCGCCGTTGTAATATAAACAATTACCAGTCTCAACATTCTCCCTAAATCATAAATCTATGATTTCTACAATATTTTAAAAATAAAAAAATAAAAATCAAAGTGAACAAATTCCTAGTTTAACACGTAATGCTACAAATTTCTGAATTGACAAAGCTTTCGTAAAAATATCAGCCAACTGCTGATCAGATGGTACATATTCAATGTTGATTACATTTTTCTTAAACAGATCTCTTATAAAATGGTACTTTACCTCTATATGTTTAGACTTGTCGTGAAATTCAGAGTTTTTAATCAATTTAATCGCACTTTGGTTGTCACAATACATTTTTAGCACTTCACGTTTAGAACCCAAGTCATTTAAAACTCGCGAAATCCACAAAGCCTCTTTTGCGGCACTCGCGGCACTCACAAACTCGGCTTCCATCGTTGAAAGGGCCAAACATTGTTGTCGTTTACTTTTCCAGACGACTGCTGCCCCATTAAGAATGCAAAGAACCCCCGATGTTGACCTTCGAGTGGAGATGTCTCCGGCGTAGTCAGCGTCGCTGAATACCTGCAGACCTCCATTACCTTCATAGAAAAGTCCAAAATCCTTTGTTCCTTGCAGATACCGTAAAATACGCTTTACCAATGTCCAATGTGCTCGAGTCGGTTTGTCCAAACTTCTGGATAATATGTTTACTGCGAATGCAATGTCTGGTCTTGTTGCGGTTTGCAGGAATATCAAATTTCCGACAGCTTCGCGATAAGGTACGTCTTCCGCACTATCATTTAAGGAAGTACCTTTATTCCAATTTAAATCTATAGGTGTAGACACTGCTTTACTTTCGTGCATACCGAACCTCTTTAATACTTTTTCAATATACGCACTTTGTTTAATAAAAATCCCGCCGGTTTTGGGAAATACAAATTCAATTCCCAAATAAAAACTAACCCGATCGTTAACAACCGCTTGAAATTCGCTTTTTAGATCATGCAAAAATTTATCGGCTTCACTTTCATGTGTTGCGAACACCAGACCGTCATCTACGTACAAGATTACAAATAGTTTTCTGTCAGTTTTTATATTCACGAAAAGACAGGGATCGTACGCACTTGCTCTTAATCCGAAATTTTTCAAAAAAGTCACAAAACGATGGTTACTGTCCAATTTACGACGCTTTTCCTTTGGAACATGAACGTAGCATTCTGTACCGAACACTTTTAGATTTCGAAAATCTGGAGCTTCCTTACCAAACCATAACTCGTGTGGTGTTTTGTTTTTCACTTTCGTTGGACCTGTTCTGTTAATTATGTAAACTGCGGTGTTGATCGCTTCAGCCCATAATGACATCGGAAGATGAGGTTTTGAATGCAGCATGGATCTGGCTGCCTCGACTACAATTCTATTCTCCCTTTCCGACACGCCGTTGTGCTCCGGTGTATATGGCGGTGTTACAACATGTTTAATCCCTAATTCTGATAGTTGTTCATTCATTTCACGATTGACGTATTCTTTACCTCCATCCGTGTTTAATGTTTTTATATTTTGACCAAAACGGTTTTGCACTTCTTTGCAAAATATTCTGCACTTATCTTTCACTTCAGATTTCTCCCTAATAAAATAAACTGATCGATAAGCACTGAAATCGTCTTTGAACATTACAAAATACCGACTTTTTCCAAGTGATTCAACCTGCATTGGGCCGCACACGTCAGAATGAATTAATTCGCGCGGAGCTTCCGATCGTGTACCGCGTTCCCCGAAAGTTAAACGATGCATTTTTCCTAAAACACAACCATCACAAAATTCACCACTGTTTTCTTCAACTTTTATGTTCTTCGATTTTAAAACATTTTTCACCTGTCGCTTGTTTTGGTGAGCTAATCTCTCATGCCACAATTGCAATGAATTCTCTTTGTTTACAATCAAAGCCGTTGTTTCGTTAACACTTTTAACTCGTAAATTTATCTTATATAAATTATCGTGCTCAATGCCCGTGGCAACTATCTTGTTATCCTTCACAAATATGCAATTTCTGCCGTTATTTTTGATTATGAAATCAATTCCCTTTTTGGCGGACATCTTCACGGAAAATAGATTGCATACCATTTCCGGAGTATACAAAACTTCATGAATCACACCCGGTAACCATTTGTTGTGCACTAACGTTTCAATTTCTATTAGTCCTTTTCCGATAGCTTTCACCGTTGTACCGTTTCCAATGTTAATTAATACCGGTTCCGAAAACGATTCAAAAGTCTTAAACACGTTACGATTATTCGTCATGTGGTCCGATGCACCCGAATCAATAATCCATAAATCTCGTTTCTCAACTTGAGACAAATTTCCCACAAAGGCGGTAGGTTTCACAACTTTTTCTGGACCATTCCTTCTTCTGTTTCTCTCTTCGCTTGATTTCTTTTGTTTTGAACAATTTTTGGCGAGGTGCTGTTTCGATCCACAATTGAAGCATCCTGGGCAATCTTTTCTAAAATGTCCCTTGCTTCCACAGGTAAAACAACCATTCTTCTTTGTTGATCCAAATTGTTTTTGCTGAAACCTATCTCTGCCAAATGTCTTCGATACCAAAGCAACTGTCTCTTCTTTTTCATTATGAGGATTTTCTTGCATTCTCATCTCTTCAGTCAGCAACCGAGTTGTCAAGTTAGCAAGTGTTCTTTTTGTCGTTTCGGTTGAGTCCCATGCACTGTGAAAATGACTGAACTGCGGCGGAAGTGTCGATAGAATTCTAGTTAATAACATCGACTCGGGAATTTCACCACCCAATCGCTTCATTTTGGTACACAACTGTTCCAATTTTGAAATATGCGCTGCCATTCCCACTGTTGAAACCCATTTGTACTCGAAAAACTCTTTTTGTACCAGCGATAAACTTTCTTCCGATTGAAGATCGTACACATTGTGCAATTTTTGCCACATTTGTGCTGAAGTCTCACAATTCATTATAAATTGTAGCGGTTTTTCCTCTACTGTAGTGACAATCAATTTCTTTGCCATCTTGTCTCGTTTCTTCCATGATGCTAGGCGAGCTTCATAATTCTCACCCCCAGAAGGTGCTTCTTCTGTTCCATTGCAGATTTCTAACAAATCATCTGAGTCCAGGAGTGTTTTGACAACAAACTGCCATTGCTGCCAGTTCTCGGCTCCACGAAGTTTTTCAACTCTTACTTTCTCGCTCTCCATTTTGAACCACACCCGCGAAAACAACGCGAACAACTTTCCGAACTTCAACCGCGAATTCGACACGAACTTTTCAACAAAAGACACACGCACACGGAAAACTACTCCCTCGACCCTGGGCCCATAACCTGTCAGAGTTGCGATGAAAAAATGGAAACAGTAGTTTACTTAGGATAATTTAATTGATAAGTACATGTGCTGTTCACAAAATGAGAGCTGAACCAAGACTAAAAACTAAAGACTGCTTAAGTATTTCCGTACATGTTATTTCTATATGAATAACCGTTTTCTTACAGACTAAACAAAGTCTATCGGCGACTATCGAACACATATCTAATAGATTTATGATTTTCCATCCATGACTGTTTATTAAGCTAACTCACGGCTACACGTCGCCGTTGTAATATAAACAATTACCAGTCTCAACATTAACAATGAGCAGAATTCAAGAAGAAGCACACGAATTTCAACTAACAGATCTTCCAGAGCTGTAGAAGAAAAAAAAAAGAAAAAAGGAAAAGTCAAAACAGTTTATTAATTCTCTTTTACTTTCAAAGACTGAAGAAATGTTTAACCAATGTGATAATGAGGATTGTAATGGAGAGCTCATTTGTTTTGAAACATGAAACTGAAAGTTGTTGTAGCTTAATATACAGTGAGGCAGATTTAAGTAATGTTTTAACAAAATATTATCTGAAATAGATTGTTTCATCAAGAGAGGCGATTACAGAATAATGCTTAACAACATGAAGTTTCATATAACATCAAAATAATACAAATCGGAATACTGGTTAGTGAATGTATTATGTCACATCATTATTACGTACAACTTCTCTGCAGTACCAAACTGACCTACAGTGTCAAACTGACCTACTCAAATGTTAACTGTAGTATTACTGAATTGGTTTATTGAACTATACATCGACAGACTAAACACAAGGTTTAAACGTTGAAAGAATAAACAAATGCATTTAACATAAAGACCTTGAATCACACTTAATCTAGTCTAACAAGTAACAAACAATAGATGAGCAAAAAAATACAAAAGAAATACAACATTCCAACGATTCTAAGCTGATTGAATGCGACATTGCGTACTTCTTTACCAGGACCGCAATTAAATTCACCTATATTTTTAAGTACGTTCTTCTCCATTTAGGATTTACAGGCGAATTCAATTCCGGCTCTGGCATAGCAATACGACAACGCAACGTCGCTTTAATCAACTGGGAATTAGCATCATCGGTGTTGTATTTTTTGTACCTTTTTTGTGAAATTTGTCTTAATAAAATTACAATTACCCAAGCGATGCTCATTTACCGATTAATGTTTACATTTTCTTTTTGTGTTCTTACATTTACGTCGCTACTTGTAACGTACTGATTTAAACATTACGTGCAGTACTAAATTGTTTATGTTTATCTTAGACCTTTGATAATCGGCAATGTTTACAATCCCGACAGACACTTATATTGGCAATTCATGCACAAGCTTCGGATTGTAAACCATTGTGATTTTCTTAAAAAAAAATTTGCGCATAACCAGGCTACTGAACTCACCATGCGATTGTTTATTGCATCTAGTTTACACTCTTCAATGCTCGGCATTTATTTCTGTTACACCATGTACTTCAGTCTGTGCACTAAACAGAAATTATAATTGAACGTATTGTAGCATCTTTTGTTGTGACTTTCATCTTTTCAAACTTGCACCGAACTGGATGTTGGAAAGTATTAATTTCGAAGTCTTACTATATGGACCTGTGGACTTTTACCTCAATGTTTAAAGTCCAGGAAATTTTTAGTTGTTTAACATTTACAATAAGGATTTACTATACAGACATTCTATAGGAATGAAAAGTGGATAAATTATCCAAACGATTTCCACCTACGTTTTGAATTTATAAAATTTTATATTTTAATTGTAATTACATCATTCTTAAAAAAACAGATAATAATGTGGCTGCATAAATTTGCCACAAATTAATTTTTTTTGTATAAAATCTTACGTTTGTTTATTTGCATTATATCATGCCTATATACTCGTAAATATCATTTCAAATTTTATCCTAAATGTTATACTTGTAATAATTATCTTTCCATCCAAATGTCTTTTCAATTCTTGTTATTCCGAATATTCTATTGTCACTATATAAATATCTATTCAGTCTCGTGTGGTGTTTAATTATTGTTACTTTTTGATATAAACTGTTATATTGTATTAGTCTCGTTCCTTTTTAATTTACGATATNCATCAACTAATGCCTTTATCGCGTCTTTATCAGCTTCAACCGGTCTTCCCGAACGTGGTGCATCTTCGACACCAAAATTGCCGGATCGAAATTTAGCGAACCAGTTCTGGCACTGGCGTAGTGTCAACACACCTTCTCCATACACATCAGTCAATTTCTTTCTGGCTTGAACAGCATTTTTACCCTTTCTGTAGTAAAACAGTAAGATATGTCGAAAATGCTGCTTATCGCTCTCCATATTTAAAAGGGCACCAACCAAAAACTACTGCGTAGAATTAATTGGAATTTTTCACACACAAGCCTTGCTATATGAGCTCTCAAAGCATATAAAAATTATACGGCTTAAATATGAAGTTGGGTGCAAAAGAATATAATTAAATTCTCTGTCGGGAAAAAACGAAATGACTTTCCGAACAATCCAATATTTTACCACAAAAGACAATTTCATGTTCCACCAAAATTAACAACAGTAATCTATATATATAAAAATGAATTGCTGTTCGTTAGTCACGCTAAAACTCGATAACGACTGGACCGATTTGGCTAATTTTGGTCTTGAATTATTTGTGGAAGTCCAGGGAAGGTTTAAAAGGTAAATAAATATGAAAGTTGT